TCATCTTCAATGCTTGTTTTGTAACATCAAGTTTTTTTTCTCTCTGATGTAAAGAAATCTTGACACTGTCTACACTATTGAATGAAAATTAGACACAAGGTTTGTTGGTGGAATAAACAGTCAAGACTCAAGACAATAGTTTATTTCTTATTTTATTAACTTCTGTAACAAAGCACAACTTACTGGTGTATTCCTCTCAAACGTAGAGGACCGTAGTCAGCTCTGTATATTTGGCCGGCATTCTGCAGAGAGTACACATTGAGGCAGACAGGATACAATCCAGGATGGTCAACCATACATGTGAGCTGTTCTTCGACCTCCCATAGTCTTCTAGTAACCTAATTAGAATTACAAATGGTAAGTGTCAATTTTAGGCACAATTAGTTGTCAAATGAAGAGACAAAGTAGTTTCCAATTTAGTGGTGAGAATGCTACCTGAGGTATCTCCAAGCAGCAAATATTCTCAGTTTCTGTGGGCATGGTAGCACATTTTCCACAACGGCACCTATCCAAAAAGGTAATAATGGCAGAGGTCTGACTAATATAGGACCACTGCTCCAGTTCGTCATTTCATCAGTTGGCCCTTCAACAGATAAGACTTTATAACTGACTGCTCTCCTTTACCAAATGGTTTCTTTCTTCAGCATCTTTGTTGGACATTTCACACACATATATTTCTGCCTTTAATTGGTCATTGCCTATATCTATGTTGAATGTTTTATATTTTATGTGTTTTGAATGTTTATGCGACGGTAGGGTGTGTTTTGTATTTGTGAAGCACAAAATATGTTGGGAGAAGTGTTTTGTTGCTATTTGTTTTTTTGTGTGTATTTAAACCAGCTTCTGAACACTATCCCTTAGATTCTTGCAAAGACTGATTCCCCCTCATCCACATATAACAATACCAGTTTAAGTAGCTGGAACGGTTATACACCGGTTTAATGACGAATCCGCCATTCACCCTATAGTTCTCGACCCTAAGCATCCCCTAAGCAGACTCATCATCCAGGACTTCGATGAAATTCTACACCATCCAGGAGCAGAGAGGGTGTTTGCTGAAGTACGTCGTAAGTACTGGATATTGAGAGGCCGAGAAGCTATTCGGCATCACCAGAGAACGTGCTTAGGCTGTAAACAGTGGCGAGGCCAACCCAGCATTCCCAGGATGGCCGACTTACTTCCTTCAAGACTGCGCTTACTTCAACCAGCCTTCTACTCCACTGGAGTGGATTGTTTTGGCCCTTACCTCACCAAGATTGGGCGCAGACATGAGAAACGATGGGGTATCATATTTAAGTGTCTGACAATGAGAGCAGTATACCTGGACCTGCTCTATCAGATGGACACAGATTCATTCTTAATGGCCCTCCGAAGATTCATCTCCCGCAGAGGCAAGCCATTTGAGATAATCTCTGACCAAGTTACAAACTTCAGAAGAGGTGAGAGAGCAATTAGCCAGCCACCAGATTAGTTTTAAGTTCAACCCCCCAGGTGCTTCACACTTCGGAGGCTGTTGGGAAAGAGAAATAAGATCGCTGAAATCAGCTCTCTGTTCTACTACAGGGGATCAAATTGTGACAGAGGAAGTACTGCATACTGTTCTTGTTGAGATTGAAGGCATTCTCAATTCGAAGCCACTCGGATATATGTCCTCAGACATAGCGGACCCTGACCCAGTCACTCCCAACACGCTGCTCATGGGGCTGCCTGACTCATCCTTGCCGCAAGTAGTATACCCCGAATCAGAGTTGCTGAGCAAACGGAGATGGAGACACAGTCAGCTTCTGGCAGACCAATTCTGCAGACCAATTCTGGAGACGTTTCCTCTGTAACTGTAAGTGGAAGTCAAAAATAAGACCTATCTTCGTCCTATCACCCGGCTCATCAGCCTCCCAGCTTTACCAGATTGATAACCCTTTAGTACTACTTACTTACTTGATCCCTTACCTTAGTGCCTTATCTAAATTACACATTTACACAGCAAATGTGGGGGCGGCTGTAGGAAAGGCTGGCGCTATATATATATATATAGAGAGAGAGAGAGAGAGAGAGAGAGAGAGAGAGAGCCATTAGTGCCCCCTTGTGACTTTAAGAGGCATTGCTTTGATGACTTAGCATTTCCCTTTAACGATCCCTTTAACAGTATTAACAGGACGTAGTTCAGAGCACGGACATTATTTGCTGTTGTTCAAGCTGTTGTTGTTTTCTACTGAGTGCGTTCATACACAAGTGAGTGATGGTGTTTATGTTATTCATTATCTTTGAATTGATGTATTTTGAAGGCATAAGTTTGTGTTATCGCTAGTTGCTAATTATAATCATGTATGTGCGCCACACGCATTGTGTATTGCATCATCCATACAGAGCCAGTGAATGCATACGAGAGATGGTTAAATAGCAATATTGGTGTATAATATTGTAAACTTTGTCACTTCGAGTATGTGTATATTATTATTTACTGAATAAGTGAGATTGTTTGTGGTATTTAAGCCATATTTATCGGTTCTTCTGAGCTCACGTGTCAGAGAACCTGATGCCAGTTTCATAAGTGCTAATCTAGTCTGTACATGTCTGAATCGAACGTTATATCACTAATTTGCTACTATGCTATATTGCTATTATGTTTAAGTATATATATATTATGTATAAGTAACAGAGTGAGTTTATATTTCATTACTAATTGGTTATTGTTATTTTTGTTTGTTTAGAACCACTCATACTAAGCTACACTCCAAACTACTCTGTACTACTCTGCCATACTCTCTGCTACCTGTACTACAATCATTCACTCAACCAACTCCAAGGACTGTAAACCTCTACAAGTCATAAACCATTAAAGTGTACTTCGTCTCTGACCGGACGACTTATGTCTGCTCAATTTCCACCAGCACCCATACTAGTCTACCTCACAGTAATGATCTATCAGTATTTAGGAGATTATAGTTTTTGCATACTTAATATTGGGCTTTAATAAAGGTTATGAAAATATAATGAATTTATATGCATTTTTATTCAGTCACTTAAATGAAACATTTTCAAAGTCTTTGAACAGATCTTGAAGGATTTGCTATCCTGTGGCTCCCTCGTGTGGACAACATTAGCATTATGGCCTTCATCTCTAAACAAAATTAAGATGAAATGGCCAATATTTCTTGAATGATTACAGATGTTTAATGATTAGTTTACTGATAATATAGCCACATTAAACTCGAATTTACTGATTCTGTATATTTTTTTCATGCTTTAAGAGTTTAATTTTCGACTTACATTTTTAAGCAGGCGTCAAAAAACTCCCAAGGCGTCAAAAAGCGAAGCATGGTCAAGCGCCTTTAGCGTCACTATGAAGACGCCAAAAGGTGCCCCTCGGCGTCACTATATCGACGAACCGGGACCTACATTGCTTTCAATGGGAATCTTTTAGCGTCAGTACACAGACGTGAAGGGCACGAGAATGATGATTGCTATGAAATCACGTTCAAGAAGTCTCATTCAGCACACATCGCGATATTTGCCATCAGTTTACGTGTGCCACAGGTTGGGTGAGTAGTCATAAAGATGCTGTCTTAATGTCTGTTATTAAATGTATTTTGTCTTCTTTATTAATCAGATTAGCGCCGTATGTTTATTCGCTGTATTATATTGGTCATCCGAGGCCGTCTTTGAGTTTCATTGCGTTTAACTAAATTAACACACCTGCTAACTGAGGTGATTAAACGCTATCTGTCACGTGACGTGCCATAGACCTTGGATCAGTTATATGTTCAAAGATGTAAGTTGTATTTGTAGTAAAATCATGGTAACCGCAACACTTACAACAGTAACTGTAGTTTTACATTGAAATTTGAAGTTAAAACGCAGTAAACAGGACATTCACCATTTCATTCAGTTTTACTGTGAAATGTATAGTAATAGCACAGTAATCACCAAACGTACTATGGTTGTACCACTATAATGGTAGTTTTGATGTGCTTTTATGACAGATATCACAACATTTACTATACCATGCTTGTAATGCCTTTTAATGTAAAATAAAATCAAAAATTAAAAAGAAAAAAAAAAGCAGTTTTTTTTCCATCTTGCAGTTTATTCATATCAGTTTATATCTTAAATATTTTGCTCACAGATCATTATTAACATTCTGTATATAATTCTATTTTTTTCTCTTCCTTTTTTAAGTTATTATTATTTTTAGCTGAAAAGACGTAAAGGAAGCAGTCAGCCCAGTCGTGTTTGTGGAGAGGTATTCCTTCAGAAATGGAGAAGACAGAAAGCTGTGTAGGTAGACATTTGCAGCGGTAGGTCCGTGTTAGTTTTACCCTTTTATCAAACATTTCTGCTGTTATAATTTATACAGCATTTGTTGTTTCCTGTCCAAATACTCACACTTGCGGTCTTTGCACTTGATTACTTGATTACTTATTTGACGTATTTCCTGTATTTGTCCCAAGTGTTCAAGTGAGCATGAAGACCACAAGGGTTAAAAAGCAGTTGCAAATGATGTGCAAAATAAATATACTTATCTTTGCACCAATAAAACGTGCAACACTTTGTTTTACTAAGAAATTATTTGTAATATCTAATTATTATTATTAATATTTAACTTACATTGGAAAGATTTCCGTGACCTCTCGCGAGATCTCGGCAAAAAGTCTCACGATTTATTCCAAAATATGATGCATGATGGGATACACTAAGCCTTGATTAGCGCTCCAGAGCGTTATTGTAGATAATGTGGGTTTAGTGTGTGTTAAGGGCACTGCGCTTTGGCATTATTAAGACCTGGGACAGTCTTGTGCACGCACTGTCACGTACACGTGCTCTCAAGTGGCCAAGACCGCTAGTTTGGGTATTTGGACAGGGTAAAAGTCTTAAAAATGCCCCATGAGTAAGAACCCTAAACACAGTCTCACATCAGTCTTAATAATTCAGTAATTCAATTTAACACTTGTATGATATTGTACAAGTGTACTTGTAGACAATCCTGCAACGTTTACTCTACTGCTGTCGTTAGTCATTGCCTCAGCCCCTGTACAGTCTCTTTTGACACTATCACAATATTGGTAAATCAGTTGCGCTCTTCTTGGAAAGCAGTCAGATGCCCCACACAGTCAGAAAGTTTATATTGTCCATTGGCTTCTTAATAAATTACTTCAAATAGGCCCCATCAGTTCATGTTCCAACTATACATGATGTCTCTCTGCACCTCGTAATTTATCTGTTTCAATGAGTGGAAATGCTAGTTTGATGTGTCGCGTGATATATCAAATCTTTGATTAATTTGTCAGAACCAGATCAATTACACTACTGACAACAGTCCTGTTAGCATGTTTAAAATAATTCATATGAATATAGCTTGCTATTAATGACTTGCTTTTAATAATGGATTCATTTAACATTTAATTATACAGCATCTTTACAGAGGCTGCTTTTACGGTCTAAAAAAGACTGTTTTACAGTCTAAAAAAACACAGTAATGTATAAACCAACAAGTTGCATTTAATGTAATAATATTTCCTTTCTTTCTGTCTTACAGGATTACTTGCAGATAACGCTGTCCTTCTCCATCATGCACCAGGACTCACCTCTTTAACTCTTTATCCCCCACACATACAGAAATGGTACCTGGATCAGTGTTAAGACTTTGCAGTGGTTTGTTTTTTTGCAGAAGATGCAACTTTGTTTTAAGTATGAGCTTATGATGGATACATTTTGACCTTCCAGCAACCCATATATTGTATACAGAACCAGTAATGAAAACAATAGTTAAAAATAGTCTTTTTCGTATTGATAAAGCATTGTGTTATCTTTTTCAAGCTTCATACAGTAAACTTTACTTAGTGTCTTCCTAATGCTTTTATCATAAAAAGCATCAGTTCTCATCAGGAGTTTTAGTAAAGGACATATTCATGCACAGCCATCCCCTAGTTCCAGTCATGCAGCAAATTCATGATGCTATTGTCAAAGGTATATTTCTGCGTTTGTATGTAGCAGGTGTTTGTTTTCCTATACACTTTCTCTATCTTCCATTGTTCGGACAATTAATGTTTATTTGGTGCTGTGCTGATAGAGTTTTATAGATGATATTGCACACTTGACATGCATGTCTTCATGGTGTTATTTTGTGATTTTGAAACATTTACATTATATCATTTTTTGTTCAATTTCATTTTTAAGAAAATTAATCTGTTTCCAGTGTTCTCTGAAAGACATATATTGTATTTTCTGTTTTTTTTTTTTTAAATAAAAGCATTTTCATACTGAAAATAGTTAACGTTTACAATTATAATTATTGCTAAGAATTTTAATTTGCTTTGTAATTATTGTTCACTTTTATTGTGACTAAATGCAAAGTATTAGAGTTAAAAATGTACAATGCTCTTAATAATTGTTTGCCTTTTTAAGTTTAGTTTTTTAAGGGAAGAAAATAAAATATTTTGTGAAGATAACTTTGCATGTGCTTTGTAAAAAGTAAAAAAGTATTGTTTGGCATATATATATATATATATA